TTTGCACTGATATATTTGTTCTACTTGTGCTCATCCACAGATGGCTCTGGCTTGCTGATAACATCTAATCTGATGAGACTCCTCTTTCCACAGACGGCTCTGGCTTGCTGATAACATCTGATCTGATGAGACTCCTCTTTCCACAGACGCCTCTAGCTTGCTGATAACATCTGGTCTGATGAGACTCCTCTTTCCACAGACGGCTCTGGCTTGATAATAACATCTGATCTGATGAGACTCCTCTTTCCACAGACGGCTCTGGCTTGATGATAACATCTGATCTGATGAGACTCCCTATGCGAGTTGACTCCTGTATTGCTGACTGTTTTCAATAAAACTTCCAATGCCAAATTGAAATAGTTTGAGATTCTGCAATTGATTGACTATTGTAAACCAATTACTGTAAACCAAATCTGTTGTCCTCAGTGTAATGTTTGGTGAATGCATGGAGTTGTGTTGTCCTCAGTGTAATGTTTGGTGAATGATGGTGTTGTGTTGTCCTCAGTGTAATGTTTGGTGAATGCATGGTGTTGTGTTGTCCTCAGTGTAATGTTTGGTGAATGCATAGTGTCGTGTTGTCCTCAGTGTAATGTTTGGTGAATGCATGGTGTCGTGTTGTCCTCAGTGTAATGTTTGGTGAATGCATGGTGTTGTGTTGTCCTCAGTGTAATGTTTGGTGAATGCATGGTGTCGTGTTGTCCTCAGTGTGATGTTTGGTGAATGCATGGTGTCGTGTTGTCCTCAGTGTGATGTTTGGTGAATGCATGGTGTTGTGTTGTCCTCAGTGTAATGTTTGGTGAATACAAGGTGTTGTGTTGTCCTCAGTCCTACTATGAATGCTATAATTCAGTTCTAAACGACCATCCCCGAGTCCATCCTCACAATGGATTGTCCGGTCTGCTGAGAGGGAGAGTCATTGGCTGCCACCTGCCCTCCATCAAGGTACCACCTGCCCTGCACGACTACAGGGCAAGGAAGCGACTTCCACCCCCTCTTCCAAAGACTCCCCTCTGGCAAACGGTATATGTCCGAACTCAGAATAAAATATGCTTCTCAAAAATAACATGTTCGCTGTGGTAGAACAGTTATTTTGATTGCCGATTCCTGCATTATCAGAGTGCCATCAGGTAGCCTAATTTCAGATGTGTCAGTGTCAACAGGATTATTAGGGAAATCGTTCTTCTTGCAAAGCATGTAAACGTTATAAAAAATATATATTTAAAAAATGATGTACTTCATCACATCAGATGGGGGCGCTGTTGTATAGAGAAGTGCTGGCTAGAAGTCATAAAGCTTCTCAGAGTAGGACTGCTGAGCTAGGTGGTCAGTGTTGCCATTCAGTACTTAATGAATAAGATTATATCTGGACAAGGAGAACCTGGACCTGTATTCATAATGCGTCTCAGATTAGGATTAGGAGTGCTGATCTAGGATCAGGTTCCCCCAGTCCAGAACAATCTTATTCAATATGATCTAAAAAAAAAACGAATCCTAGATCAGCATTTATACTCTGAGAAGCTTTATGAACATGTGGCCTGATTCTATATCAGCACTTTTAATCTGTCTCTGAGGTGGGTTTTGAATATGGGGTGAGAGAACGCTTTCCAACAACAGGTGGTTTCTGTTGACTGTCTAATGGATGTTTTTGAACAGGAAAAACAGCTTAGATCAGAGCATTACATTTACATTTGAGTCATTTAACGAACGCTTTTATCCAGAGCGACTTACAGAGGAGGACAGAGGAGTCGAGGAGAGGACAGACTTTTTTTCCCAATTGAGAATCTCCCAGCGAATGAAATGTATGTTGGGCTACTCTCACATAAGGGGAGATTCTCAATTGGGTGAGACATCTCCTCGACTGCTCCGTCCTCCTCTCCTCCGTGTTCCGGAAACTGATGAGTGGTGGAGAGGTCGAGTAGAGTGTAAATTCTTTAGTAGGTGAAAAGAGGAGTCTGTTCTCCTCGATTACCTACTTCAGCAGACGATTCACAAGAGTGTCCTTTCAGCTTCTGGCACGGAACTGTTTTAAAATCCGCCACACCCCCTTTGAATCAGCTGTTGTTTTATCTGTAAAATGTATTGCACAGCTAGACAATTTTTTTTCTTACACTCTAAACATTTATTTGTGATTCTCCCCCTGTAAATGTAATTTGCCTGATGATGCGCGAGTAGAGAAGGAGAGTCTCATTTCTTACCACATTTTTGTCCCACGTTTCCTCTTCTCGTCTACGCTCATCAATGACCTTTGACCTTTTTCACTTTTTCAAAAGCAGGTGAGGGGAGGACAGAGGAGAGACGCGATAGGAGTTGAGCTACAATTGAGATTCTCCCAAGGACTTCCTATCATCACCAAGGTGAGTACATTGATTGCTGTGAGTACATTGATTGCTGTGAGTCCATTTCAATGGAATGTTTGTCAGGACATTTCATCAGTACGGTCATGTTTTTATATACATAGGAAGTGCCTATCTCATTTGCAGTAGTATGAATGCAAACAGCCTTAAGGGTAATCTTCTGCATTACAATTAGAATGGTAGGATGGTATGATGGTAGGATGATAAGATGGTATGATGGTATGATGGTATGTCTACCCATGCCTGCCTGAGAACCTGAGCAATGAAATCATTCCTCAAGACCTTCTGTCTGTCTGTGTGTGTGTGTGTGTGTGTGTGTGGTGTGTGTGTGTGTGTGTGTGTGTGTGAGTGTGAGTGTGAGTGTGAGTGTGAGTGTGAGTGTGAGTGTGTGTGTGTGTGTGTGTGTGTGTGTGTGTGTGTGTGTGTGTGGTGTGGTGTGTGTGTGTGTGAGTGAGTGTGTGTGATCCAGATGAATTAATACAGTATCTCAAACTGATTAGGTGATGGAGCCTGGCCAATGGGAAGAATATTATGTTTGACCACATTGGTATCAGTAACAACAAGACAACCTATTGGATAATCACACAGTATTGTCATCAATAAGGTGACAGCCCATTGGATAATCACAGTATTGTAATTAATAAGGTGACAGCCAACTGATCAATATATCAATCTTTGTGATAGTAATGTCCCATGGCCTGTCACCCCTACCACACCCCTCACCCCTGTCCCCTCCGCGACCTCTCTCTTGATCTTAGCGCTATCTCTTTCCCGGCGCTCTCTCTACGCTATCTCTCGATATTCGCCTTCTCGTCTTCTCTCTCTCTCTTTCCTCTCTCTCTCTCTTCTCTCTCTCTCTCATCATCTCTCATCTCTCTCTCCTCTCTCTCTCTCGGGTCTGTGTCTGTGTCTGTGTCTGTGTCTGTGTCTGTGTCTGTCTGTCTGTCTGTCTGTCTGTCTGTCTGTCTCCCGGAAGTGGCAGTAACCCTTCGGCCATGTGTGTGTGTAATTGGCTTTGTAAGAGGGATAGGTTTAATTAGCGTGGTTCTTCCAGCTCGTTAGCTACTGATGAGGCCTGGAGAATACACCGTCCCCTCATCCATCCCGCACACACACACACACACTCACTCACACACACACACACACACACACACCCTTCTCCCTGTCTAGTGCTCTTGTCTCAACCAGCAGTTATTCTCTGTACACAGGCGTTGGGTTACACTTCTCCCTTTGTTGTTGCCATGACACCGTGCTGAGATAGCAGGTATAAAAGCAGTGTTAAAGTAACAACACAGGATATTGCATAGATTCGCAGTAATATGAGAAACACAGCTGTCATCTGTGTGTAACTCAGGCACACTATTTAGTGCACTACTGTTAATCAGGGCACATAGGGCAATATATAGGGAATAGGGAACCATTTGGGATGTACGTCTCACTCTATACGAGCACAGTGGAAACGGCGTACAGACAAATATTTCCTGAGAAACTGTAGTAAAGCAAGGTGTGTCTGTCTAAAGCTGTTAAAAACTTTTAAAAGCTAAAAAAGAGTGTGTGTTGTTTTTTTTTGTATGTTGCTAAGGGAATGATACAATTATTTTGGTTGTTTCCTTGTGTCTGAGCCGAAACAACGTTTTCTGCTGCCAAATTTCTCGCTTGACACGAAGGGATTCCCCTCTCTTTGGGTGTTAAAGAAAAAATGAAATTTTATAAAACAAACCCCAGAGCAGAGGAAGAGAGAGAGGGGAGAGAGAGGAGAGAAGGGGGGAGAGAGGAGGAAAAGAGAGAGAGAGAGAGAGAGAGAGAGAGAGAGATGGGAAGATGAAGAAGAGAGAGAGAGACAGAATGAGCTCGGAAGGAGAGGAGAGGTACCCCAGTTCCCTGTGTTTTGGGGTCTGGGGTTTTCTGGACTTAGAAGCATTGTGTTCCACCAAAAAAAAAAAGAAGAGGAATAAAAATAAGACAGAAAAAAAAATTCCATGAAGGTGGGAAACCCCAAAAAAAAAACCCCCAAACCAACCGAGGCCCCGGGGGGGGGCCGGCAGAGCGGCAACTCCGGGGAGGGCGGGCGCCCCACCGCGAGAAAAAGAGGAGCGGGAGGAGGAGAGCGGGAGAAGAAGGGGGAGGAAAAAGGGAAGCCGGAAATTTTTTGAAAAGTAGAAAAGAAAAAAGGAAGGAAAGCAAAAGAGGGAAAAACCCCCCCAAAAAAACCCAAAAAAATTTTTTTTTCCCCTTTAAAAAATTTTTTTCCCCCCTTTCGTTTTTCCTAATTTCTTTTTCATTTTCCCCCCTTCCTCCCCCCGGGTTTTTTTCCCTTTTCCCCTTTTCCCCTTTCCCCCCCTTCCACCCTCTCCCCACTTCTCTATAGTTCTCCTGGCCTGGTGGGAAAGACAGTGGGAGTCTCCCTACCCTGGTCTGGCCTCATAGATTAGCCACACACACACACACACACACACACACACACACAGACAGGGTCAGTTTATCAGAGTGTGATAACAAGGTAAGACTCCAGACGTGTTTAAGAACAAACATTAATCCTGACATTTCAACAGCAGAATATTTATAAGAAAGAATAGCAGAGGCTCTACTGTTAAAGAAAGCTAGACTCTTTTACTGTACGGAAATGCTAATGTCTCTCTGAGAAATATGTTAAGAAAAATTGTTCGCTCTGCTAGTAAGGTGCTAGGGGTCAAGCAGACAGGTCTGGAGAGTATTTATGATATAAGAGGCTTCCCAAAAGCCCACAAGGTACTGATGGAGCCCAGACATCCGCTTTAACCAGGAGTTTGAGCTACTCCCCTCAGGGAGACGTTACAGGGCACCAGGGTACAAAATAAATAAGGACAAACAGTCCTTTATCCCAGCGGCGGTAAGGCTCCTGAATGTTTAAAACCACCATTAGGACCAGCTAACGTTGTAGTTGACAGAGTGTTCTGTTGTGCACATGATCATTAATTAACTTTCTACCTGTATGTATTGTCTGTATATGTCCTCTATCTCTCTTCCATTATGTGTTGTTATGTACGCACAGAGCCGCAACTAAAACTTCCCCGTGGGGATAATAAACTCATTATCTTATCGTATTTTTGTCTTCTCAACAGACCGGGATGGAACTAGGGAAAAGCTATCAGACGTGTTTGGAGGGACGGAGTATCCCATATAGTGCATTCCTGTGGCTATGAACAAAACTAGGGCACTCTTTAGGAAATGGGGTGGTGCCATTTCACGCTATTTTATGTCCCAAAGTGGATAAAGAGAAGTAAGTAAGTTTGGTTTGAACTGTTTTGGAATAAACTGTCTATGATCATGGACTAAAAAGCCTTTTCAAAGAAGAGTCTTCATTGAGTTCAATATTTAGTCCAGGAATAGGTTTAATCTGTGTCCAGGAAACCGCCTCATTGAGTCATAGACTGTGTATGATGATGGCTGCCGCGGTGGAATTCTGTGATGGATGATGTGATCTACAGACGCTGACTCCCCGGCTCACTTCTTATCTGCTGTCTGCTATCAAGGAGAAGGGATGTGGAGGGAAGAGATGATGCATGGATATGTGTCATGACAGAGGCTGCTTCCCAAAATGCACCCTGCTCCTTATAAGTACACTATACAGGTAATAGGGTACAATTTCCGACACAGACATAGTCAGGTGTAACCACAGCAACCACAGGTTAAGCGTTTAAAGGGCACACAAACAACCACGGTTAAAAGGCACCACAACAACCACAGGTTAAAGCCATCACAGGCAACCACAGGTTTAAAGTGCCACCACAGCCAACCACAGGTTAAAAGGCACACAGCAACCACAGGTTAAGGGCACTCAAAGCAACAAAAGTGGTAAAGGCATCACAGCACCACAGGTTAAAGGCACAACAGCAACCACAGGTTTTAAGAGCACCACAGCAACCAAGGTAACGGCACCACAGCAACACAGGTTTAAAGGCACCACAGCAACGAAGGTTAAAGGCCACAACAACCACATGGTTAAAGGTCATCACAGCAACCACAGGTTAAAGCACCACAACAACCAAGGTTTAAAGGCACCACAGCAACCAGGTTAAAGGCACCACAGCAACAGGTTAAGGCACCACAACAACCACAGGTTAAAGGCACCACAACAACCACAGGCTAAAGGCATCACAGCAACCACAGGTTAAAGGCATCCACAGCAACCACAGGTTAAAGGCACCACAGCAACCACAGGTTAAAGGCACCACAGCAACCACAGGTTAAAGGCACCACAACAACCACAGGTTAAAGGCACCACAGCAACCACAGGTTAAAGGCACCACAACAACCACAGGTTAAAGGCACCACAGCAATCACAGGTTAAAGGCACCACAGCAAAGAATCAATCCTGAATTATCTGGTGCCACAGGACACATTTGTGGAACTTCTTCAGAAGTAGTTGATGATCTCTCTCTTTTTTTTGGAGCTTGAATTGGGTCACACTACACAGCCAAAAGTATGTGGACATTTCTTCAAATTAGTAGATTTGGCTATTTCAGCCACACCCGTTGCTGACAGGTGTATAAAATCGAGCACACAGCCATGCAATCTCCATAGACAAACACTGGCAGCAGAATGGCCTTACTGAAGAGCTCAGTGACTTTCAACGTGGGACCATCATAGGATGCCACCTTTCCAACAAGTCAGTTCGTCAAATTTCTGCCCTGCTAGAGCTGCCTTGGTCAACTGTAAGTGCTGTTAATGTGTCTGTCCTCGGTTGCAAAACTCAATACCGAGTTCCAAACCGCCTCTGGAAGCAACGTCAGCACAATAACTGTTCATCAAGCGCTTCATGAAAAGGGTTTCCATGGCTGAGCAGCCGCACACAAGCCGAAGAATACCATGCACAATGCCAAGCGTCGGTTGGAGTGGTGTAAAGCTTGCCGCCATTAGACTCTGGAGCAGTGGAAACGCGTTCTCTGGAGTGATGAATCACACTTCACCATCTGGCAGTCCGACAGACGAATCTGGGTTTGGCGGATGCCAGAAGAACGCTACCTGCCCGAATGCATAGTGTCAACTGTAAAGTTTGGTGGAGGAGGAATACTGGTCCGGAGCTGTTTTTCATGGTTCGGGCTAGGCCCCTTAGTTCCAGTGAAGGGAAATCTTAACGCTACAGCATGTGCTTCCAACTTTGTGGCAACAGTTTGGGGAAGGCCCTTTCCTGTTTCAGCATGACAATGCCCCCGTGCACAAAGAGAGGTCCATACAGAATCGGTGTGGAAGAACTTGACTGGCCTGTAAAGAGCCCTGACCTCAACCCCATCGAACACCTTTCTGATGAATTAGAATGCCGATTGCGAGCCAGGCCTAATCGGCCAACATCAGGGCCGACCTCACTAATGCTCTTGTGGCTGAATGGAAGCAAGTCCCCGCAGCAATGTTCCAACATCTAGTGGAAAGCCTTCCCAGAAGAGTAGAGGCTGTTATAGTGGCAAAGGGGGACCAACTCCATATTAATGCCCATGATTTTGGAATGAGATGTTCGACGAGTGTATTTCCAATATGTTTAACATTGCTACTTAATGCTATGTAAGATGATATCTTTAATGATGTGTCATTATGTAGAAGTTGAAGGAACGGAACACTTCTCTGTTGTCGTGGAGATTGAGATAAAGTCACAGTGGAAACAAACTAGTATCTGTTCTTACGTTCAGCTGTAACAGTTGGCCTATCAGACGTAAGGGACTGAAATATTGCAACATTCTTCACGTGTATTTCTATAAAACATCAATAGGATCCTAATTGGCTCATTAACCAAAGCTATAGGGATAATTAGGTAGGCTGACCCTTTTGTTTTCCCTGTTCATCCCCTCTAGGCTTAAAACAGATGTCTTGAGTTTTGGAAACACGCTCGTAAATAACGTTCCCTTCACAACATTACCGTCTCTTTTCCTTTACCTGGAAGGCTCAGAATCCTTTCCATAGTAAAACCCCAGCTAGCAGAAACTTCTGCCCAGGGTTCCCTGGAACATTGGGAGGGTGGGCCATACGCACGCACACACACACACACCCACACACACACACACACACACACACACACACACGCACACACACACACACCCACACACACACACACACACACACACACACACACACACACACCCTCTCTGCCAAAGGAAAAGAAAGGAGGGATTTTTATGACCTCATCAGATTTACGAGATGGAAATAAGGATGAAAGTGCTGCACTGTACGTGTGTGTGTGTGTGTGTGTGTATGTGTGTGTGTGTGTGTGTGTGTGTGTGTATGTGTGTGTGTGTGTGTGTGTGTGTGTGTGTGTGTGTGTGTGTGTGTGTGTGTGTGTGTGTGTGTGTGTGTGTGTGTGTGTGTGTGTGTGTGTGTGTGTGTGTGTGTGTGTGTGTGTGTGTGTGTGTGTGTGTGTGTGTGCGTACACTCTGTCAACGCACTGTTTATGGAGTTGTTTTGATGTTGGTGTGGATGTTCATAAAGACAGGAATCAAACAGTCATTACCACAGTATTTTTCAGTTGGGACGTCAAGGCTGTTACCTTTCTTGTTTTCTAGCAACAACCCCAAATTACGCTGAGCTTTAGGAGATTTAGTGGTTCTATGACGATTAGAGGTATTTTAACTTATTGAACCCTATTTTTTAGTGTCAGTGGGTTTCAAATTAAAGTAGATCACAGTTTATCGTCCTAACCTAAACTGTTCCGGAAGTCTATCCCAACCCCAATTCCACCAGGGCAAGGGAGATTTACAGTTTTATCGCCTTAACCCTGTGTATTCCAGTTCAGGGCATTTAGAGTAGATCACAGTTATCGCCTAACCCTATTATTCCAGCTTCAGACAAAGACCATTCATCCCCTACCCAAGGCCTTTTAGAAAATTTACCAGGGAGAGTAGAAGATTTTGCAAGAACCACATATTACAGGATATTTATATTATGTTGATGTACAGGCATTGTGAAGAGCCCATACTCTTAGTATCTGGAGCTCATCCTCGGTATAGAAAGAAGTGTTTGAGATCAACTATATTGCGGTCAGACTGCACAAAACCCTGATTTTCACTTTGCAACCCAAATAACTTTTCATTATGTGATAAAGGTGAGAGATTGATCATGTGATGAAGATGAGAGATTGATCATGTGATGAAGATGAACGATTCTGCCCCTCACCTTGCTCAAACGGATCCCCTTTAACACGCTGATGTTTTACCAGTGCCAGTGCAGATCACGTAGCCTGGTAAAAACCAGACTGAACTGGTAAAAACCAGGCTGAACAGGTAAAAACCAGACAGAACAGGTCAAAACCAGACAGAACAGGTCAAAACCAGACAGAACAGGTCAAAACCAGACAGAACAGGTCAAAACCAGGCTGAACTGGTAAAAACCAGACTGAACAGGTCAAAACCAGACAGAACAGGTCAAAACCAGACAGAACAGGTCAAAACCAGACAGAACAGGTCAAAACCAGACAGAACAGGTCAAAACCAGGCAGAACCAGACAGAACAGGTCAAAACCAGACTGAACAGGTCAAAACCAGACAGAACAGGTCAAAACCAGACAGAACAGGTCAAAACCAGACTGAACGGGTAAAAACCAGACTGAGCAGCATTCACAACAACATCTGCAGCATACTTTACTGACTGTATCACAGGAGGTTGGTGGCACCTTAATTATTAGGGGAGGACGGGCTCATGGTAATGGCTGGAGTGGAAGAGGTGGAATGGTATCAAATACATCAAACACATGGTTTGATGCCATTCCATTCGCTCCGTCCCAGACATTATTATGAGCCGTCCTCCATCAGCAGCCTCCACTGGTCTGTATTGTCTCTGTGGGGGAAATCTGTTGCGGTATCATGTACACGTTTAAGATGGCGTTAAAAAGGACAGGAACAATAC